TTTTTTTTTTTTAATATATCTTTATTGATTTCAGAGAGAGGAAAGGAGAGGGAGAGAGAGACAGAAACATCAACGATGAGAGAGTCATTGATCAAGCCTACAACCGGGCATGTGCCCTGACTGGGAATCGAACCCCAACCACCTGAATCCTAGGTCGATACTCAACCGCTGAGCCACACCCGGCCGGGCTCTATGTCTTTAATTTCTGCTCTGATCTTTATTATTTCCTTCCTTCTACTTCCCAGGGCTTTTCTTGCTGTTCTCTTTCTAATTCTTTTAGTTATTGTGTTAGATGGTTTATTAGAGGTTTTTCTTGTTTCTGAAGATATGCCTATAATGCTGTGAAATTTCCTCTCAGGATTGCTTTCATTGTGTCCCATAGATTTTGAGTTGTGTGTTCGTTTTCTTTTGTTTCCAGGAGGTTTTTGATGTCTTCCTTGACCTCCTTGGTAACCCATTCATTGTTTAATAACATGCTATTTAGCCTTAATGTGTTTGAATATTTTTGAGTTTTTTATAGTGGTTAATTTCTAGTTTCATGCTATTGTGATCCAATAAGATGCTTGATATTATTTCAGTCTTCTTGTAGAGACGTGTTTTGTGTCCTAACATGTGGTTTATCTTTGAGAATGTTCCATGTGCACTTGAGAAGAATGTATATTCTGCTGCTTTGAGGTCAAATGTTCTGTATACATCAATTAAATTCATTAGCTCTAGAGTGTGTGTCAGTTAAGGTCTCTGTTTCTTTGTTGATTTTTTGTCTAGATGATCTATCCAGTGATGACAGTGCAGTGCTAAAGTCTCCTACTATGATTGTGTTGCTGTTGATCTCACCCTTAAAGTTCACCAAAATTTTTTTTATATATATAAGTGCTCCTCTGTTGGGTACATATATGTTTAAAAGGGTTATTTCCTCCCATTGGATGGATCCCTTTAGTATTATGTAATGACCTCCTCTGTCTCTTATTATGGTCTTTATTTTGAAGTCTATTTTGTCAGAAAAAAGTATTGCTATCCTAGCTATTTTTTCATTTTCATTTTCATGGAATATTTTTTTCCATCCCTTCACTTTCAGTTTTTCTGAATCTTTTGTTCTGAGGTCGGTTTCTTGTAGACCACATATATAGGGGTTGTTTTCTTATCCATTCAGCTTCCCTATGTCTTTTGATTTAAGCATTTAATCCATTTACAATTAAGCTTATTATTGATATGTACTTGTTTAATGCCATTTTCCCCCTTTATGCCTGTATGCCTTACTCTCTATATTTCTTCTTCTTAAAGCAGCCCTTTTAGCATTTCTTCAATGCTTATTTGGTGGTTCTGAACTCCTTTAGCCTTTTTTTTTATGGGACACTCTTTATTTCACCATCAATTTTTTTTAAAAAATATATCTTTATTGATTTCAGAGAGAGGAAGGGAGAGAGAGAGACAGACAGAAACATCAATGATGAGAGAGTCATTGGGGATCGAGCCCACAA